CAATCTGAACCAGTCCATTCTCAAACTTCAGTTGGAAAACCTCAGGGTAGAATGAAAAGCCAGCTTAAAAAACAGAGAATGGAGGCTGGTGGAAGCAGTAAAGAAACTGAACTCCAGATTTATCTAAATGAAAAAATAGTGGAAGATGAAGAAAATGTGGACTTTGATGTTCTAAGATGGTGGAAGGTTAACAGTGATAGATTTCCTATACTCTCTAGAATGGCAAGGGATGTGCTGGCTGTTCCCATTTCAACTGTTGCCTCTGAGAGTGCATTCAGTACTAGTGGTAGGGTATTAGATCCCTTTAGGAGTTCATTAACTCCTAAAATTGTTGAATCCCTAGTATGTGCACAAGATTGGTTGCGGGCACCCAATCATCCAATCTCTGTGGAGGAAAACTTGGATGATGTTGAAAGATTAGAGAAGGGTACTATTTTTATTTTATATCTTTTGTAGGTTTCTACTTTATAAATTGTTAATTGTTACTTACCTTTTCTAAACTCTTTGTGTAGAATTGTCCACTGGAGCTGCTGGTTCTTTACCAAGTACTGTTGGAACACTCCCAACAATTGCTGTAATACTTTTATATAACATTGCTTTCTGACTTTCTGTTTAGTTTGATTGATAAATGTGTGGACTCTTTGAGGCAAATCAGGTAAGATTCCAGAACTGCTAATTGCTAAGTGGCTTGGTAACTTTTTTATAAATGTTGCTGCCCTTACTCAGTTACATCTCTGGTATTCTGGAATTCTGGTATATCACTTCCCTTCCTCTCATATTCTCATTTCTGTTTAGTTATGGACTTATGGCTATGATGATGCTTCCACTATTTGTCTGAATTATAAAGAGTTTGGGTGTTTGGTATGTTGCTCTGAGACAAAACTCATGAAGCAATTTGCCCCCAACTCTAAAATGATATGAAAAAAAGCAATCTGAGCCTTTCTTATTAAGTATTATTAGTTCTCTACTTCTCTTTGTATTTATTGGCTTTAAAGTTTAAAGTATTTACTGGTTTTGTAATTGAGCAGGAAGATGAGGAATGACTGAATGCTGATTGCTGAAGGCTGATTGGTGACTTGCTGACTTGCTGACTTGCTGAGTTGCTGACTGCTGACTTGCTGAGTACTTTAGTAGTTAGTACTTAGTAGTTAGTAGTTTAGTGTTGTTTGAGTATTGTAGACAAAACTCATTTTGTGGACTACTGGACTTCATTTTTGCTTTTTGAATTTTGAACACCAGTTGGAAACTGCAATATGTAATTATGTATCCAATATGTATCGAAACCCATTTCATGTACTTATGGCTATGATGATGCTTTCATTTTTGTTTTTTTTTTTGGTTTCATTAATCCGAGTTCAAACCGAAATCCGACCCCACCCGACCGTATCCGAACATGGGAAATCCGATAGGATTTTCCTATTAATTCGAACGGATTGGGGTAGTTTTTCCCAATCCGAAATCCGAGCGGATGAACGGTTTTCTAAACCGATCCGCCCGAACCCGTCCGATGCACAGCCCTAGTGGTGGCGGTGGCAGTGGTGGGGGCGACGGTGGTGGTGTTGACGGTGACGGTTGTGGCAGTGGTGGTGGGGGCAGCGACGGTTGTGGCGGTGGTGGTGGTGGTGGTGCTGCTGGGTGGTGGCGGTGGTGGTGGCGGCGGTGGCAGTGGTGGGGACGACGGTGGTGGTGGGGGCGGTGACGGTTGTGGCGATGGTGGTGGTGGTGGTGGCGGCGGCGATGGTGGTGGCGGCAGCGTCGGTGATGGTGGCGGTGGCGGCGGCGGCGATGGTGGTGGTGGCGGCGGCGGTGATGGTGGTGGTGGCGGCGGCGACGATGGTGGTGGTGGTGGTGGCGACGGCGACGATGGTGGTGGTGGTGGTGGTGAAATAGGATAAATTTATATATCTGATAAAAAAAATTAGGTTAAAGAAAGGGGTAAAAAAGGAAATAGATTCTAAAATCTATTCCTGAGCGTTCAGTAATAGGCTAATACCAGGGGGGGCCCCTAGTAATAGCTATTACCTTATTTGAGGTAATAGGCTATTACCAGGAATATTATTCCTGGTAATAGAAGTGGTTACCAAACAACGGAATAGGCCTATTACTGGGAATGCTATGCCATTCCCGGCCTATTCCGTGAACCAAACGGGCCATTAGTCTATCTCTACCGTCTACACTACTGTCACTACACGTGTCTCAGATCTATAAACTATAATAATATATTTATAATTTATAATATATTAATATATATATATCGTCGGTTATTCGGTAACCGCGGTTTCGAATGGACAATAATCGATTAGCCGAAAAATCGATTTTTTTTACTTTGTAACCGATAACCGACCAAAAATCGAAATTTTCGGTCGATTCGGTTATCGGTCATCGGTTTTATCGGTTTTTCGGTATTTATGCTCACCCCTAATACTCGGAGGACCATGGGAGGTATTAACTCTTTTTTATTTTGTGGGAGGATTTATTCCCTTCATGTGATCTGTAGGTACTAATTGCCCCCACTTCTCACAAACAACATATAATAAAACTTATTGCTAAGAATCTTGTATGCCACCCTCTATGATGGCAAATTATGTTGGGGACCATGAAACTTATTTCATATGGATTACTAATAAATATTTATTTTAATGTACTGTAAGCTTATTAATATATTAAAATGATATACACTAAAAGTAATTTTTGAATATATTAAAAATAAATATGTATGTTAATGGTCCACATTATAATGTAAACCATGGTCCATGAGATAATAATTGATGTGAATCTTATTATTAAGCATGTCATTAGCCACAATGCCAGTGTAGCATTCGCATATACACACCCAAAAAAATAAATAAAACCACTTGACTTAAACAAATTTTTATATCAATAATGTGACAATGTATAATTGAATTTGTTTTATTTGATATATTTAATAAATACAAAAGGTATCGTTATTTATTAAAAAATCTATATATGAAATGCGTAATACTATACCTATTCTTACTTTTGCATCCTATTTTATACTATTTGTTGACACAATATATGTTATTTGATTTATTTAAAAAGCCACACTTTTTGTTTATTTTAATGTTTTTCTTTAAAATAATTTATTTTAATGTTTTATTTAATAAAATTAGAATATGTGACATAAATTTTATTTAATTACGGAACGTTTGGTTGGAGGGAATTACAATTTCATTCCTACCTAAATTCCTACATAATTTCGAAGGCAAACAAATTCATTCGTTTGATTTGAGGGAGTTGCAATTCCGCGGAATTGAAGTTCTCTCATTTTCATGGAATTCGAATCCCATGTCCCCTTTAGCATTTCAATTATATGGATTTTAGAATGAAAAAGAATAACTTTGAGACAAAATTATCCATCCTTTTTAAAATAAAATTGATGTTTGACCTCTCTCTTTCGATTATAGTGTGTCTTCTTCTACTATCAACACAAAACGTTAATCAATAGGCCAACATCAATCAAATATGTTTTCTCAAAACTTTCTTATTTATTTTATTGATTTCGTTATGCAATTTTAGAGTTTATTTATAGCGTGTTACATAAATTTCAAAACTAAAATTTGAATTTGGTAATTTAGGATTTATAATAATAATAATAATGGACACTTTAGACTATGTATTCCATTTCAATTCCCATGCATACCAATTATTCTAATTACCACTTTATAGCTCTATTACATTGTAGTATCTGTTCATATACTTTCTCAACCTACTGAAACACAAAGAGCTAATAACGCCTCCACTAAGGCTTGAACTTACAACCTTCCAAATGGAAGTCCAACCCGGGTACCATTAGACCATATAGTCCTGGTAGAAGAAATTGCATTCCTTTTATCACCTAATTCCCTCATTTCAATCAAACGTCCCGTTATGGTTCTATTTTCTATGGGCAATGATTAATAAGTCATTAAAGTTTAAGCTTTTGTCCAATTTTTATGACGACATTTACACCATTTTAAGTATTGCTATAATCTATACGAATAAGGGTCAAATAGATCTTCAAACTATATATCAAAGTGCAATTAGAGATTCGAACTAAAAAAACATTTAATTAAATTAAACCCTTGAACTTGTTAAAATAATGCAATTAACTCATTTAACCTATAATAGTAAGTTATCTTCAAGTTACATGCCACCTAAGATGTCATGTAAGATGCCACATCATGTGAATTAATATTTTTAAACTTATTTAAAAAATAAAATAATTATACTAAAAAAGGATAGAAACAAGCAAACATAAACGCCATGGCAGCTCTGCCATAGTTGACGGGGAAACTCATTGCCTCGTTCGATTGGGACTTCTCAATTCAAATCTAATATAAAACTTTAAAAATAAAACAAAATAAAATGGAAGTAGGGAAGCAGCAAGGTCATGGCAGCCAAAGTGCCATGGTTGATAAAGAAGCCGGCAAGCTTCTCTGTTTAGTTCAGACGGAGAAACCCGCTGACTTCTCCGTTCAAATCTTTTTTTAAAAAAAAAAAAAAAAAAAAAGCAAACAGCAACGCATGGCAGCTTGGCTGTCATGATTGACAGAGAAGCCGGTGGGCTTCTCTATTCAGTTCAACCGGAGAAACTCGTTAGCTTCTCCGTTCAAATATATAAAACTTTTTTAACTTTATTCTTGTACATAGGAAATAAGACTTAATCCAGTATTGTAGTATTGTTCATATACTTTCCCAATCTACTGAAACACAAAGAACCAATAACGCCTCCACTGAGGCTCAACTTACAACCTTCCAAATGGAAGTCTAACCCGGGTACCATTAGACCATATAGTCTTGGTAAGAGTAAATCACCCTAAAGATCTTAAAAGTTAGAAACTTAGAAGGATTATTCTTATAAAATAAAAACATCCGCATGGGAAGCAACAAATGCACGGGAACCTTTCACTATATATATATATATATATATATATATATATATATATATATATATATATATATATATATATATATATATATATAAATTTGTTATATTTGCTTTTTTAACTTTATTCTTGTACATAGGAAAGAATACTTAATCATTGTACTGCCAAATTCGAAGCCATTTTTTTTTCACTCATATAACTATCTAGTTTCCTTTATCATCCCCAAGTACCACATACTCTAGAAGAACTACGAACAGAAAAAAAATATATATTTGTATATAGAAAAAAGTAATAAATCACCCTAAAGATCTTAAAAGTTAGAAACTTAGAAGGATTATTCTTATAAAATAAAAACATTGAATAAAAATATGAAAATAAAAAAAAATGAAATTAAAAATACCGCATATATAGCATCCATAGAAAAAAAAAAGAGAGATAGACATAAGAAATATTACTAGAAATATTACTCAAAATAAGTATGTATATATATATATATATATATATATACATATATATATATATATATGTATGTATGTATATGTATTTGCGTATGTATATGTATATGTGTATGTGTATATACATATATATGTATATGTGTATGTGTATATATGTATATGTGTATGTGTATATATATATACACATACACATATACATATATACACATACACATATACATATATATGTATATACACATACACATATACATATACATACGCAAATACATATACATACATACATATATATATATATATATATATGTATATGTATATGTATATGTGTATGTGTATGTGTATATACATATATATGTATATGTGTATGTGTATATATATACATATATATACATGTATGTATATACACATACACATATAAATATATCTATATATATATATATATATATACATATATATATATATATATATATATATATATGTGTGTGTGTGTGTGTGTGTGTGTGTGTGTGTGTGTGTGTGTGTGTGTGTGTGTGTGTGTGGCATTCAAATGCAAGCCCTCTTAAAATACAAATCACTGGACAAATAGGGGCCATCAGATTAGATTAGATTAATGGATCAGATTTTAGGGAGAAAAAAACGAGTATCATAAATATATATATATTAAAAGAGCAATGCTGACATTAACATATAATCCTAATTACGGAAGAAATTGGATGATAATATTCACCCTAAATTACCGTAGAATAATTGCAGTAGGAATACACCACACCAATCCACACGCAACCCAGAAAGTCCGGCGAACTAATCCAACGTCAAACAGACAACAGACGTGCGATTCCGGCGAGGCTTCGAACGAGAACTCCGGGACACGAACATGGATTATACGTCTCCATCACTACCAGGTAATCATTCCATCTTGATTATGATAGTTGAATGACACAATGCGATTACTACTGAATTGTATGTGGTTAAGAATATTGTACAGGATAAGAATAAATTACTATGATGTTGATTACAATGTATTCGTCCAAATCTGTGCGTATAAGAGCAATCCTAAACCCTAATAATTACCAGGAGATGATAGCTAGGCTGTACGCATGAGAAAATGCGGATAACCTCCTACGCACACGAATCGACTCTAGTGTGCACACCTTAGAACCCCCCCTACGGCTCCAAAAAACAAACCTAAACAGGGGTGAAAGTATTGCTAGAGCAGTGAATCAGCGATGAAACATGTGCTTTTGAACCCCGTGTACAGAATGAGATTGTAGCATGCACACAATAAAAACCCCACCAACCGCTACAAAAACCCAGCACAAACATGAATACAATTTGAATGTTAATGCACACCTCTAATCTATATTTGCTATGCGCAATAGGTCAAGATCAACGTGACCACAGTGAACAACAATGTGCAATGGTAATAGGCGACGACGGTGCAAAATACTGGATACCTACAACCCAAAATGAGAAGACACCGTACGAAGGGCAACGATTCCAAACAGTAGACATCGGGATTGATTCTACATAGCATACGCTACCGAGGTCAGATTTGATGTTAGGCACGGCACAAAGCGTAAAAATCGAGCGGGGGAAATGACAATTAAATACATGTTGTGCTCACAGGAGGGATACAAGTCCGAAAAGAAAGAATCCAAGAATAACTCGAAAGAAAAAAAGAGACGAAGGAGGGTGTCGAACAGGATAGGTTGTATGGCGCGTATGGTAATGACAAAGTATGACACTGGCGGATACAAAGTCTATGCAATCCAGCTGCAACATACACACTGTCTATGCTCGAATGAAGGTAGACCATTTCTAAAGATTAATAGGCAACTTGAGATCGGGCACAAAACATTTTTGGCTAACTGTGAGAAGACAAACATAGGACCCACAAAAGCTTTCAGACTGTTCAAAGAGATGGTAGGAAGTTTTACTGATATAGGGGCAACATGCATTGAATTCTGCAATTTCAGGAGGGACCTATTGGCTTATATAGCAGAGGCAGACGCTCAGATGGTGATAGAAGACATGTTCAAAAGAAAAGAGACAAACCCGAACTTCTATTTCGATTTCGACATAGATGAAGAAGCTCAATTATCTAGGTTATTTTGGGCAGACGCAGAATCAAGGAAGAAATTTGCATGCTTTGACGATGTCATGTCATTTGATGCTACGTACAGCACAAACAGATACACCTCAATTTAAATTAATGTTGTTGAATACTGTGTGTGCAAGACGTGAAATAAACGTGTGCACAGAAGAGAAACGCTGAAAATTAATAGATAGTGCCATGTGTGCGTGATGCAACAGATTGGCGTGCACAGCAACGAGAACAATGAAACACGTAAAAAAACATGAAGAGAGTTGCATACTGTTTACACGTACCAAAATTTGTGTGCAATACTAATCCCAAAAATGGTAACATTACAGGTACAAGTTAGTGTTCGTCCCTTTCACAGGGGTAGATAACCACAAAAGATGCATAACATTCGGGGCAGGCCTGATTGCGAAAGAGGATGTAGAGTCGTATGATAGGCTACTAAAGAAGTTCAAAACTGCAATGGAATACACACCAAGATGTACAATAACTGACCAAGATCTAGCACTAAAGATAGTTGTACCACAAATAATGCCAACAACTAGGCACAGATTCTGTATGTGGCACATTATGGCAAAAGTTGGGGAAAAGGTAGGGGTTGCCTTGTGGCATACCGAGGACTTCAAGAAGGCACTGAATAGTACCGTATGGGATGACACATTGACCAAAGATGAATTCAAGACAAAATGGGAAACAGTAATGAAAGGCTACAACCTTGAGGGTCATAAGTGGTTTGCCCAGCTGTACGAGGCACATGCATCATGGATACCTACATACTTCAACAACATACTTATGGGAGGACTACTCAGGACAACATCGAGGTCAGAATCAGAAAACAGCTATTTTGGTAAGTTTACAAACCACCACTGCAGCTTGGTAGAATTCATGGCACAATACAATAGTGTCATTGGAGAACAAAGACATAAAGAGGCAAGACTCATAGCAAAGAATGAAGGTTCCTTCCCTGAAACTAAAACACCGCTGAGTATTGAGAAACACGCTGCAACAGTGTACACCATACATATTCTATGAATTTCAACAAGAGGTATGGGAGGCTAGTTTCACGTGCCACATCACCGACAAAAACAACATAGGCGAAATATGGAAGTACAAAGTTGAGGAAACAGGTGGGAAAATGTTTGAAGTTACACAAAACCCAGCAGTGGAGAAAATAGAGTGTGCGTGCAACAAATTCAACCGTGATGGTATACTATGCAAACATGTGTTGGCGGTTATGAAAGCAAAAGGATATGAAACAATCCCACAAAAGTATATTGTTCCACGCTGGACAAGAGACGCACGTGCACAACCACTGTACGATGTTCCATGGGCAAGAAGAACAAATATTCCCACAACGAATGAAGGGACAAGAGTTGCAAATCAACTTTGGAGTGAATTCTACAACTGCATGGGATTGGTGAATGGTTGGCCTACCAAAATGGACCAAATGTTGGCAACATTGCAACAACTGAAAAAAGATCTACAAAGTGAGAGACAACAAACACAAGAGGGTGGGAACAATGAATCTGTGCTTGAAAGACTAGTCGGATCAGCCAGACCAATAGACATACAAATAAAACCATCGAAAATCGCAAAGAACAAAGGAAGTGGGAAGAGACTCAAAAGTAACAAAGAGAAAGCCATCAGAAAGAACCAGAAGAAAAAAGAAAGGATATGCAATATATGCGATCTACCAGGCCACAATAGTCGCACCTGTCCAGATAAACTTGCATCAGACGAAGTTTAGAATAATTTTATTTCAAAAATAGTGAACACTGCCATTTAGTTTTCAATTATGAACTACATTTCATTATTTATTTTAAGCAAACTTGATACTCATTACAGATGGTTTAGTTTTCAATTATGAACTAGATTTCATTATTTATTCTAAGCAAACTTGATACTCATTACATATTGTTTATTGATAATGAGTACATACAATGTGCACACACCACGGTATATGCATGCAAACATATGCAACTACCATAAAAATTAGTACAACCACTTAGTTCCCAAATAATTAACAACTACCCCACGCACAGTGGAAAATATGTATGCTCACTTTCTATTAATACAACTGTGATGTCCGGTGGGGGAGGGGGGGGGGGGGGTAGAAGGAGATTAATGAACTACGCACAAATACAGGTACACACATGCACACATAACAAACACCATATTTTGCTGACATAACAAAGAACAAAGTCATCAGTACAGAATTATAGAACAACACGCACCAATAAACCCGGAGGCACGTTATATTACGCTGGCATGCACATAACCGTACACCCCATAAACCTCAACCATGGAAAACACAGTAACAGACCAGATAAATACCAAGCACACCACTCTAACCAGCATGCACGCATTGGAACCCCCCATAAGGCTGAAACAAAACACATGCAGAACAAAAGACTCTTACGACATTATTTTACGTATTAGGCCCCATAGTTTAATTTTTTTAATTTTTTTTAAAAAGTGGTAGTTGTTTAAAATGACCAGTACTGCCACTACTCTGGTTTACAGCAACCCAAACAATACTCATATTTATCAGAATATTAATCCCATAGGATGGGGGAATAAACAAAGGCGTCCACACAAATTAACCTATGCACACAGGGTAATATGTATGCGCACAAAACGTCGAGAACAACCACCTAGTTTACGACCCCACGCACACAAAAAGTACAAAGCGGTGCACACATGCAACACACTAACCCCATAACACCCACAACTAAAGACCATACGAAAAGCATACTGTAACTAAACCCGTAGATCCGCGCACACAATTCAACACATCGATGCACACACAACAAACCGAGTAGCCCAATATATATTCACACCGACGCACGCAGAAACCCACAACGATGCACACCGCAACAAAAAATATATTCCCAACAATATAGACTACACAAACTACCACACCACTGACAACAAACATACCAAATCCACAAATACAAGTTAGTATAAATAAAAGGCGTCATTTGCGCCGCATATAAACATCCAAAAATAATATGATCACAATATTATGCACGCATAACTACACGAAGGTGCGGCTAACAGTTTACACATGCCAAAAATTAAAACACACCACTGTTGGCATTTCTTGTGTGCATGACACACAAGATTCAAAAAACAAGAAACTAAATATCAAATATAACTACACGGCCGAAGGAGGAACTGAAATCGACTGATACGCACGAGCAAGGTTGGCAAGACCGATGCACATTATGCTCACAAAGGATGAGCTCCCTCATGTACTGCATCCTCAACTTGTGCAGAATCGTAGTGTCCCCCTTAACTAGATCACAATCCCAATCAAGAACGCGCTGCCCGAGATACGACTCCATGTGCCGCATCATAAAAACACCGCAATCAATCTTATTCTTTGAATCCCGCCAAGCCATTTGCAAACGCTTAGATTCCAAACCACCAAAAGCAGCAGACATCCCAGGAACAACAACTTTACAGAATGCAAATAGCATGACCTTCTGTAAACGAACATAACAAAACATTGACACAACATTCAAAGCATAGGCCAAGGAGGAAATGAAAAACAGATCAGAGAGACAACAAAAGTGGGGAAGGTGTGCAACCATAAAAACACTAACCATCTCCTCAATACAATCGTCGTACTTCGCCGCCTTTGCTCTGGGATTAGAGTCATTATCAATAATCTCATACCGACCGCGTTGGAAATCAAAGCACAACAAGAAACAGTGACTACGACGCAAAATGGGGAAAAATAACTACACAGAAAACAAAAAAAAAATGGAGTGATGGAGCTGTGCACAGAAAAGAATGCCCACTCGCACCAACTGCATTATTGTGCACGTGGTTAAGACAACGTGTGCACGGGCAACCTCATGACAGTAAAAAAAAAAGGAGAAAACACAAGTATACCATGTCAACTTCACAATTGTTTGCATACGGCGACAAAACCATGTCCATCCGCAACCTCTCACAAAACCAACTGACCCTCTTGTCCAACGATTGGGAAGTATCAACAACTGTAGACAACTACAAACCCCAACGAAACCACCAAAAAACCATCAAGAGAATGAATAAACAAAAGAAAGAGACACAACGACTACAAACGGAAATGGAATTAACGGAATTGAAACTAACTGTAGTGAAGGTAGAAGCAAAGAGCCGTGTAGGCACCGTAGCAGCCTTGGCAGCCTCCCGGCGATTGAGAACCGATGCCCAAGCATCTATAACGCCAACGTCAACTTCTGAACCCGGGATAAGAGTCAACAAACTCTCCCATGACATAGAACATTGACCAACACTGAACACAATTTGACCCCTAACATTGCCAAACATCAGGACTGTAAGCACACACAAAGATATAACATGCACACAGCAATAACAAACACAAAAACAACACTAGTATAAATTGACATGTCAGAGCCAGACCCCCCACGTAACAGGTATAGTGACGCCAGCAGCCTGATACTCCAAACGAGAGACGGCACCCGGAACAGTAGAACCAAGAGGCTTAAAGGGACAGACAACTTTAGCAGGGGCACCACAAACTGGGCCACCTGAAACGGAAGGATCACTACAACCACTAACTTTCAAGCACTCATGCGAAATAACAAAAAAATACAACATATAGATATCAACAAACATAACCAACAACCAAGCTAGCCAGCCTTAGAGACAGGACAACTTCATACAAACGCAATAATCCCCCAGACACCCACAACAAAACTAAATAATAAGGACCCAACCTCAACTGTGTAGAAAACTCTGGACACTCCGCCATAGGGGAACGACCCAGCCCTGAACCGACATCAACATTGCCTTTATCAATACACTCGGGCAAAGAAACCTCTTTCTCAAGGGCCCCCAAACCTGCTTGCTCGACGCAAACATTCCCGATCCCCTACACGGAAAAACACCGCCAAATTATTAAAACCCACACCAAACAAAAAAAAGAAAAAGAAAACCAACAACAAGCACCAAACATCAAACTCATAAAAAGCAGAAAACACAAAGCTTACCGCATCAATATCATTAACACAATCACGATCAAGACCCATACCGTCCGCACGAACATCGCCAGCCAACTCATCCACCGCATCCAAACCACTAACATTCAGACCAACACCACCAAACTGCTGGGTTAACCCAAGGCTAAAAGACGGCATATCATTCAAGCCCACCCCCTCAGAAATCGCACAAAATTGAACATCAAGAGCCTGTAAACGGGGCTAGATAGTAGCATACAATTGACGACAAACATCCCCCTCCATAACCGTACCACGTGCCATCGTGAAAAAATGAGACAAACTAGTAATAGAACTTGCAAATACAGCAGCCACCTCACCAACCACACACTCAAAAGTCTACGGAGACACAGAAGAGAACACATAAGTTAGCATGAGACCCACGTGCACACAGAATAAAAACAGCGTGCACAGGAAATACCGATAACTGCACACTGCTTACTTAAATGAAAAGGACCAAACCACAACTATAAACACAATGCGAGCACAAAAAACCAACACAAAAGTTAGCATGAGACCCACGTGCACACTAAATAAGAAGAGAGTGCACAGAAGGTAACCATAAATGTACACTGCCTACCAGAATGAACATGACCAAGCGCCAACTACATACACAATGCGAGCACAGAAAGCCAACTGCGAGTGCACGACAAACCCAAAGCAGGGGGCAATGTAAATAATTACAACGAACAGTGCCAAGCAAGCAAAAAAAAAAATGCACTAATATCCACAACAGGATGACCAAACTTGAATAAGAAGCAACATGAAATGCAACTACATTGAGCCACCACCCTGATATAGAAACGAATAACAATAAGACTGAGAACAATGTACCTTTGGACCAAATTCAGGACAAGCCACCTCGTTATCATTCGGCTGGACCTCAACCATAGAGGGCTCAATCACTTAACGCCCAAACCCCCCACCAGTTATCTCCGCATACTCACGAGTCAGCAGTGGCTCAGATGTCCACCCCTGAAATGAAGGCAACAACCGTGGGACAGAACGCTCAAAGGGCAAGACCCGATCGACATAAAACAACTGAAATTAGAATAGTAAACTACATCAAATTAGTAAAATATGCAACCACAACAAAAAAAACACCAAAAACAAAGAAATAAAACCATACCGTAACAAACTCCGCGGGGCCAACAAAGCATTGATGCCGGCCATATTTCCAAGCATCATGCATCTCCACCAACGAATCCAGAAGAAACTTGCACCAATTTAAATCCCAGATGCGTCCAACGTCATCAAAACAATCGAAGTACATCTGATTCACATAGCCATTGCTCATAGAACAAACCAACGAGGAAACCACCAACATAGAGAAATGTCGCTGGAACCAGACACCCCCATCCACCTCGCCGATAACCTTATCTACAATAAGAGACGCAGTCACCGTATGACTAACCTTCCCAAACAATCATCTCCAGTGCTTCAACAGATTACTAATACGATGCCTATCACGCTTCATCATCTCGATACGACCACGTGAAAACCCCAAAACTAGCTCAACATCACGCTCATTCACCGACCCAGATCTTCCACCACTAAGATCAAACGTCCTCGCCTGGCCATCAAAATTAGTTAGGAGCCAATGGACAAGACAGGGAGGACACTCAGCCACCTTGAAATCCAACAGCGGCCCAAAACCCAAACTCCTAATAGCATCCTTCTACTGCGTCGACAAGTCCACAAGCGCATTGACAAGAGCAGAAGCTTGCACCCGAAACTTAACAGTGGGATACTCAAATACCTCCTCAGAATTTTCTTCACCACCAGCCTCCTCAGAAGGGGAAACAACACCAGGGGCAACATCAGGAGCAGCATCTACGGCATTCCAGGCAGGGTCTTGTTGCAATCTTGTAACACCCCAGATTTTCGAAACTTTTAAAACTAATATAATAAAGGTAATTTCGCATTAAATCCCAAAACGGAGCATTACTAATCATAAATGTGCGGGGTGTTATGCCACATCTGAGCTGGAGAACTCAGATGCACAGGCTATTCTAACTAACAATTCTTTAAACAGTGTCATTACATCATCAAGGCGCGCAGGCCGAAAGGAAAGATTAACTATCTAAGCCGAGGTCCTCTAGCGCGCTCCGGTAGCTAATCATCTGTGCCTGAAAGCCAAATATATCTGCTCAGCGAATGATGCTGGTAACCCACTCCAACACGTTAAAATACAATATAGGTATATATATATATATATATATATATATATATATATATATATATATATATATATATATATATATATATATATATATATAGGAAAACCATTTTGAAGCAGGAAGATATATACTTAGGAGACTCAAGCTTTAAAACCAGGAATAGACTCGACAAGTAGGGACAAGCACATTCACAGTTATAATCAAACATATAAAGACATCATCATATATCCTAAGGTCACAGGTTAATTTCATATCATTTATATCATCTTTCAGTCAAAATCTTTATCACATAAGCACACTTTGGTGGCGCCACGGGACCAATCGCATGCCCCAAACATGAGGGTTAGCGTATATAGCGCTAACACGGCCCTGCAGCACCCTACCTCATACCGCAGCATGAAGGAATTGACCGCAGCCAATTGTATAGACCGTCGATAGTTTCAACGGCGAATCACAGCCCTACACACCGCTGACGCGCTCAGTCGGTGGACTGTGATCCTCTTTTGGGGACTGCGACCCTACACACCGCCTCAGAGACTCATTCGGTGGGCAATGATCTTTGGGGACTACGACCCTACACACCACTAGCACATACACTCGGTGGATTGCAGCCGACCATAGCCCTACACACCGCCTGATCACTCATTCGGTGGACTATGGCCTTCCTCGGGCTAGTGGCCCTACACACCGCCTGGCGCGTCCAGTCGGTGGACCATAGCACACGAGGCCCATGTGGACCGCAAGCCAAGAAGTGAGTCACTGACCGCAGCCAGGAGAACGAACCGCAGCTCGTGTATAACCAATTTGATCGCAACCAAATTGGGGTATCATGCTCACATAACACATAGTACACATATTAGCACATTGGGAAGGGGGAAAGCGTATAAATAAACTTATGCGTGATTATCCACATACTAAGAATAGTCCTAAGGGGTTCATACATCTTCCTCCTAGGCCAACGGGTTACCAATTCAACTAGCATGCAATATACGAGACTCTTTTATCCTACGAACGGTACCCGAAACATCAATTAGACTCATGCACGACAAACGAGGTCCGTTGGGACACCACGGGGGTTGGGGGAACATCAAACGGGGAAACCGAAGTCCCAAAGTGGGCAAATTTCCAGCGGGTGATCGGCGGGTGGAGGGCCACCCGCAGGCGATAAACCTCCGGGCTGCGGGTGCCAGGCGGGCTGTCGTCTGCCCGCCGGCTGCCCGCTGCCGGTGGTGTTACTTCGGACAGCGGGTAGGTGGCGGGTCCCCCTACCCCCCACTGACTCTTTTCCAAAAAATACGTCCCGGGATCCTCCGTGGAACCCGAAACCATGCTTAGACACTTTTAAACGCAATTGATGCCACCACGTAGACAATTAATGGATCAAAAGCAAGAATCACATAGAACACATCCTATCATGACTTCTAAACATAATCAACACCCGAACATGCGAATTCCCACCCAAATACACCAAGAATATCACAATACGAATTTCATGATTCAACCTAGGGCTCTAATCATATTTAAATCATCAAGATCATAGTTCATCTTTAATATCAAGAAACATCAAGATTTATCAAGAATATCACACAATCATCAAGATCCACTTATCAGCATCAAGATCACACATAAAATCATCTCATCAATCATCAAATCATATCATCATCATCATAAACGATTTATCAAGACACAAGCATGGAGAAGAAGCCAAAGAATGAGGTTATAGCAAAGAAAATAGGTTTTGTTGAGACATAAGTTACCTCTTAGCCTTAATTAATCTTCCCTTGGCTATTAAGGTTCTTCTCTAAGATTTCCATCCGCTTGATGTCCCTAGGCTCGGTGGTGGGAAATCTCCCGGGAATATTTTCGTATAATATAATTATGGGTGGTAAGGCTTCTAATTGCTTTCTAATCCCCTATTTATAGAATCGAGAATCCTAATCATAATCTGAATAATAAAGGCCTACTTTCTTTATTCCTAATAGATATATAGGTCTAGGATTCCTAATTAGAATCTGACTAGTAAAAGGTTTACCTTTTTTATTTCTAATGGGCTTAAAACTCTAGTTTAGGCAAGGGTCCACAATCCATGGTGGACCACACTAATTAATTAAAGGGAATTCTAATCAAATTAAATCCTTTTTAATTATTATTAACGGATTTAATTAAATAATTAATTCGGGATTGAAGGCCGTAACACGGGGTGTTACACTCTCCCCTCCTTACAGGAAGCTTAGAAATCATTTTGGGGTAAAGAGCCCAAATTAGTATAGTAGCACATAAGGAAAATATTATATGGGAAATATATACATATGCACATACAAATTTACTGGGTTTAAGCCTAACTATTGTGCTAGCAAAATGCACCAAATAATAAGGTTATGAATATGCAACCCACATTATGTAAATTTTATGGATGCATGATAACATAACATAGAAGTCTTACATACGACATGTTCATTGTTTGATTGATTTATGATGATTTAACACATAGGATCACAAGTTGCTCCGAACATATAATTATTTATGTACCTAAATAAGAGGCAAATACCACGCGGGTGCAGGTTCGGATTGCCACATAACTATTATTAAGCACATATGCACATATACCAACATAGGTGAATCCTCATTTACGAATGGATGCAAATGTTTAATATGTAGTGTAGCATGTCGCGAGCCAAAATGCCATATGTGTAGGATCTATGCCTAATCATTGTGCTTAGCAGGTTATACCAAATACTCATAGTTACAAAATAACAAGTCTAACACTATTATGTTATATGCGGAACCTGTAAGTTGGCATGCCTGTATGCATACAGTCGTAATTATGCTAAATATGCAATTTCTTAAGTCTATAGGCATAGAGTATGAAGGCATGTGAACCTATTTTGAGTCTTAAATAATAACTAGTCCTATGGAATCATAAAGCACATATATGCATTATTCAACATGTTAAACTAGTGCATGATTAACAATTAAATTCATGTACCCAATATCGTGGTATAACCAAACATTTGTCACATAAATTCAGGAAGGTCATAAATCATATAACAATTATTCAAATAGCGAAAATCAGATTTTGAGGAAAAGATTGCAAGTAATTATGAGGAAGGTTCTTGCTTCTTATGGGTAAATAAATTCTGGGGAGATAATAGGATTAGGATCTTTATTTTGCATATCATGGATAATGGTGGGTGATCACATAACAAGTATTGGCACTTATATGCAGGTTGCTTGTAATTAATACTATTGTATATATGCATAGTGGGATGCCTTATAACATATAGTTTTGTCTAACATGCTTTGTATATATACATGAATGCGTGTAAGTGTGCGTTTTGTCATAAACATGCGGACTATGTGCATTACATATGAAAATATAAATTTCCACCTATAATTGGAGCATGTAATTCGCACACAAATATTCTTTAATAGTTACGAGTAAAATAGCATAAGTTTTCAAATGCTAAAAGGTTTATCTTGAGAAATCTTGACAGAATTTGATCACACAAGTACTTAGGAGAATTAGTTTTATCTCGGTGGTAAATAGATTTTAGGTAGGCATAACTCTTACCTCTAAAAGCCCCAAATACCTAAACAACTTAGAATTGAAGACCCTTGATTGCTAATTCCTAAATTAATTGATGACCTGATGGTGAGGCTAAAGTTTTTAATTATTTAGGGAAGGTAGGAGTGGTAACAGGGGGGGTCATGCGAGGGGGAAAAGCAGAATTAGGGCTATCTCAGGATATGTGTATGTATATATATATATATATATATATATATATATATATATATATATATATAAGAGTGATGCAATTTGTACGGAATGATATTTCAGGGTTAGGATATGCTAAGTGCAAACTCATAGATGCATATAAGATTATTATAGCTAGGGTACATGTGTATGGTTTGGGGCTAGGGATATTATTGTATATAATATGACTGTAACAATTTATATGAATACGTATGAATAAGGGAGGATGTTCTATAGGCTCACAAGTATATATATATATATATATATATATATATATATATATATATATATATATATAAGCATGTAGGGACGTACCGTATGTGACGCAATCATGAAAGATTTAGGATTAGGTAAGGTGATTAGGGTTAGGGTGTAATAATAATGAAAATAATAATAATAATAATAATAATAATAATAATAATAATAATAATAATAATAATAATAATAATAATAATAATAATTTGCGTGTAACTGTAGCATACAAATGTAATTGGGATTTACTACATACTTTAGGAACGTGTGTGTGTGTGTGTATATATATATATATATATATATATATATATATATATATATATATATATATATATATATATATATATATATATATATATATATATATATATATATATATATATATATATATATGTATATGCATAATAGAAGTTTTGGGGAATATATTTAGAGTAGTAGTGATATACCTATTTATGTATAAGTGTTTGTTTTAGGGGATCCTTATCTTAGAGGTCAAGGGTTCTAAACAAGGCATTGGAAGCTTGTGGTCTATTATGCAATATGGACCAAGGTCTAGAGGGATAGTTTTAAGATAGTTTTGGGGACGCAACATATTTTTTTTTTCAAGGATAATTTCTAGATGACCACTTGGTTTAGGTTAATCGGATTTCTCCCGGTCTCACTCGGATTGCCTTTCAGGTCAAATCTTAATGTGCAAGGTGCCCGAGGATTTAGATTTCTAGAAATAGAATTAGTCCCTATATTTTCTATGTAATTTATAAACAAATCAATTAGAAAGATAATTCGACTTTTATGTTCAAGCATTAGATTGTTATTTACATGTTAAACACATAAGAAGTATCAAGGGAGACACACAAATGCACAATGGATCAATAAAATGAGAAGTCAAGAAAACATACCGTACCAGTGGGCGCGAGGTGGGCGGTCGACCGCCTGTCAAGTCCCCACTGGAACGTGGCAGGGCACGTGGTGGGTGGTCGACCTCCTGCCAAGGCCCCACTGGAATGTGACGATGAAGAAGGAATCACTTCGGGAAAGTCACGAGAATGTACAGATTTAAGTTCAAACAATTCTATACTCATACGAACAATAAAAGGGACTTAAATGCATGGAAAATCTTAAGGAATCACATTATTATGATACTAACAAGGAACACGGGAGACATTCAACGAGATATCATAAGGATCACACACCCCATTCTCCCCCTTCTTAACTAAAGCTACGTTCCCACAATTTTCCTCCATGCAAACTTATGTAAGTAGTTATCGTGCTATTAGTAAGTTAATTATCAAAGTAATTGGCCAATTATGATTAGGAAGAGTGAGCTATTATATGCCGAATAAAATTACCAATTACAAGTCCCAAAATACTTTATCAAATAACAGATATCCAAATAATGCACATTTGATCAAATAGTTAAGCAACAATATGCAATTCCTGACTCAGTCTATAAACAAATCAATTAGGAACATAATCCAACTTTCATGTTCAAGCAAATAAACAAGTATGGTATTTAAATAAAATTGACAGTTTATCAAGTTTTAGTATGTCAAAGCAAGTTGTTAGTAATCAAAGAGTGATATGCAACAAGACAGGTAATAGTATGCAAGAATGTCTCAACTTTTTAGGGCAAGCATAAGGAATGAAGAACAAGTATGTGAGAAAAAGCGATAAACTTACAATCTCACCGCGCGTCCTAAGATCCCTATATCCTAAGTTCCTAAACATCTGAAGTTTAAGCTTAATATTCTAAAGTTCAAGCCTAATGTCTTAAAGTCTTATCCTTAAGGCATTGTCTTAGGGTTGAACTTAGGCTCTGATACCATCTGTAACACCCCAGATTGTTGAAACTTTTAAAACTTATATAATAAAGGTAATTTCGCATTAAATCCCAAAACGAAGCATTACTAATCATAAATGTGCGGGATGTTATGCCACATCAGAGCTGGAGAACTCAGATGCACAGGTTATTCTAACTAACTATCCTTTAAACATTGTCATTACATCATCAAGGCGCGCAGGCCAAAAGGAAAGACTAACTATCTAAGCCGAGGTCCTCTAGCGCGCTCCGGTAGCTAATCATCTGTGCCTGAAAGCACAATATATCTGTTCAGCGAATGATGCTGGTAACCCACTCCAACGCGTTAAAATACAATATAGGTATATATATATATATATATATATATATATATATATATATATATATATATATATATATATATATATATATATAGACTCGACAAGTAGGGACTCTAGCTTTAAAACCAGGAATAGACTCGACAAGTAGGGACAAGCACATTCACAGTTATAATCAAACATATAAAGACATCATCATATATCCTAAGGTCACAGGTTAATTTCATATCATTTATATCATCTTTCAGTCAAAATTTTTATCACATAAGCACACTTTGGTGGCGCCTGGGACCAATCGCATGCCCCAAACATGAGGGTTAGCGCATATAGCTCTAACACGGCCCTGCAGCACCCTACCTCATACCGCAACATGAAGGAATTGACCGCAGCCAATTGTATAGACCGTCGATAGTTTCAACGGCGAATCACAGCCCTACACACCGCTGACGCGCTCAGTCGGTGGACTGTGATCCTCTTTTGGGGACTGCGACCCTACACACCGCTTGACGAGCTCAGTCGGTGGGTCGTAGCTGATCAAAGCCCTACACACCGCCTGAGAGACTCATTCCGTGGGCAATGATCTTTGGGGACTACGACCCTACACACCGCTGGCACATACACTCGGTGGATCGCAGCCGACCATAGCCCTACACACCGCCTGATCACTCATTCGGTGGACTATGGCCTTCCTCGGGCTAGTGGCCCTACACACCGCCTGGCGTGTCCAGTCGGTGGACCATAGCACACGAGGCCCAAGTGGACCGCAGCCCAAGAAGTGAGTCACTGACTGCAGCCAGGAGAACGAACCACAGCTCGTGTATAACCAATTTGATCGCAACCAAATTAGGGTATCATGCTCACATAACACATAGTACACATATTAGCACATTGGGAAGGGGAAAGCGTATAAATAAACTTATGCGTGATTATCCACATACTAAGAATAGTCCTAAGGGGTTCATACATCTTCCGCCTAGGCCAACGAGTTACCAATTCAACTAGCATGCAATATACGAGACTCTTTTATCCTACGAACGGTACCCGAAACATCAACTAGACTCATGCACGACAAACGAGGTCCGTTGGGACACCACGGGGGTTGGGGGAACATCAAACGGGGAAGCCGAAGTCCCAAAGTGGGCAAATTTCCAGCGGGTGACCGGCGGGTGGAGGGCCCCCCGCCGGTGATAAACCTCCGGGCAGCGGGTGCCAGGCGGGCAGTCGTCTGCCCGCTGCCGGTGGTGGTACTTCGGGCAGCGGATAGGTGGCGGGTCCCCCTACCCCCCACTGACTCTTCTCCAAAAAATACGTCCCGGGATCCTCCGTGGAACCCGAAACCATGCTTAGACACTTTTAAACACAATTGATGCCACCACGTAGACAATTAACGGATCAAAAGCAAGAATCACATATAACACATCCTATCATGACTTCTAAATATAATCAACACCCGAACATGCGAATTCCCACCCAAATACACCAAGAATATCACAATACGAATTTCACGATTCAACCTAGGGCTCTAATCATATTTAAATCATCAAGATCATAGTTCATCTTTAATATCAAGAAACATCAAGATTTATCAAGAATATCACACAATTATCAAGATCCTCTTATCAGCATCAAGATCATCAAGATCACACATAAAATCATCTCATCAATCATCAAATCATATCATCATCATCATAAACGATTTATCAAGACACAAGCATGGAGAAGAAGCCAAAGAATGAGGTTATAGCAAAGAAAATAGGTTTTGTTGAGACATGGGTTACCTCTTAGCCTTAATTAATCCTCCCTTGGCTATTAAGGTTCTTCTCTAAGATTTCCATCCGCTTTATGTCCCTGGCTCGGTGGTGGGGAATCTCCCGGGAATATTTTCGTATAATATAATTATGGGTGGTAAGGTTTCTAATTGCTTTCTAATCCCCTATTTATAGAATCAGGAATCCTAATCATAATCTGAATAATAAAGGCCTACTTTCTTTATTCCTAATAGATATATAGGTCTAGGATTCCTAATTAGAATCTGACTAGTAAAAGGTTTACCCTTTTTATTTCTAATGGGCTTAAAACTCTAGTTTAGGCAAGGGTCCACTATCCATGGTGGACAACATTAATTAATTAAAGCGAATTCTAATCAAATTAAATCCTTTTTAATTATTATTAACGGAATTAATTAAATAATTAATTCGGGATTGAAGGCCGTAACACGGGGTGTTACAAATCTCGCTAGGAAAGCCAATGGAGGTGAAACAAAGTCATCATCACTAACGCAAATGTGAGCCCCACCCGGAGCACACTGCACCGCTTTGAGCTTCTTACCTGGAAATAAAACACCAACACCACCCACTTATATTAGCACATAACCAGACACGCACACAAACATGAGACCACAACGCACAAACCAAAACACTACCACGCACACAAACAAGAATACACATGACCAAACACGTACACCAAACCACCTTAAAGACAGCGCAAAACTATTGCAGAATTTACATAGTAAACTGTCCATGTCCATAGTAAATTGTTCATTTTAGTGTACTCATTAGTTTTGATAAACGAGTATAATTAGAAAACAACTACAATTAATTGGTAAATTACTAGTATAAATAGTTGTTTTAGTTTAGTGACCAATTTAATGTGATGCAGGTATATGTCTCTCTACTACTGAGTATATACCAAATATAGTCCATAAGATATGCCAACCATCTCTATAATGGCTTTTAACGGGTATGCAGTAGTTGTTGATTTTCTAGTAGTATATTAGGAAGTATGAGTTGTTCAAATCAAGAAAAAATGCAAAAAAGAAAAGAAATGATTTTGTAATGATAGATGGTGATGTGTGGTTAGGGGATGACAATGGTAGTGAGTAATAGTGTAGTACTGTGGTAATTTATAACTGTGATGGAGTAGTGGTGGTTGTCGCATGTCAACTGAGAAAAAGATGAAAATGTAAACAATATCGCAAATTATAAAAATCGAAAAGTAATGCACTTGGTATTAATGAATTTATTAATGGATTCATGTGTTTACATTGAACCATTTGTGGCTCAGTCCAGTAATTAAATGGGTGATAACTGCATGCACCCATTTATTACATAACCCAGCTAGATTCAACGCACCCATTAAGCAATTCTATTAATTACAAACTGAAGCTCTAAGACCACACCATTTTGGAGAATTCTGCCCCCACTAAGTTCTAATTGCCACCCTTAAAGCAGTTGATATAGTTTCCTAAATTGCTAACATGAATAATCATTTTCTCTAGGGATGGAGATAATTTGGATGCTGGGACAGAGACAAATGCCAATTTACACCATCAACTCTATTATCATTTTTGGGTACAGATCAATCTGAAGATATCTTGTGCAGGAAATTAAATTATATTGCAAATTTTCTAAATTTTGGTACAACTCAGGGACAATATATGCATTTTAGCTAAAAATTAGGACGTAGACAAAAGAGATATTGAGTATTTCTTTTGTAAGAATGCTTGAAATACATATTAATTCTATGAAAATGAAAAGTAAAATGCAGTCAACCGGAATCATTTACATTTTATATTCTTTGGCATGCATTCAAGATGAAGGTTAGCTCAAAGTAGGCATCAATCATACAAAGGAAATCTGCTTTAAGTTGCAGAATAAACTCACAACAAATTGAATGTCCAACTAGCTCAGGACTTGATATAATGTTTTGCAGAGGCAATTACTCCATCGAACAGAAGCACAGAAAAAAACCCCAAAAGAAAAGACCTACCTACGCCAAATCGCAAATCGGACTGTCGCGATTCGCACGACACCACCAACACACCCAGACACCGACACCACAACAGAAACTCAACAGCAAACAACACAAAAAACGCCCAAAACCGAAAAAAAACAACCAAAAAAAATGAAAACGCACCTCCACCGACAGCGCCGACCGGTGGTTCCTTCCTCTTCAGTGAAGCGCGGTCCCCACCCACTAACATGGCTACGTGGAATTGAAAATTGAGAGATGAAGGTGTAAAGAAGACGCGACTCACCAACGCTTCAACCGCACGGAGAGAGAGAGAGCGACGTAGACAGACGAGGAAGCAACGCGTGAATGTGGAGCAGTTTGACTAGGCTACAACAATGCGAGTGAATGTGGAGTAGTTGGACTAGGATGCAATAATAAACAAAATACCAAAAAATCCCCCCCCCCCCCCCCCATCATAAAAACAATGAAGATAACGTAAAAACCCATCAGCCACACACCCCCATCAAAGACCGTCCGATCAAACCATCCAACTTATCTATCAGTTTGAGCATGAGTTTGCGTATTGAGCTATGATTAGAAACATCTGTTTAAAGCATGAGAATTGTGTTTAAGTTGAGTATTTTGATAAATGCATGTTTATGTGAAGTATAGGTTGCAAACATATAGAGATGTTTATGAGTATGTATTGAGTTTGTTGATTAAGTGTTGTAAGTGATTATAATCATACTTTAGATTATGTGTTTGTCAAATGTTTCCAAATGTATATCTATAGTATTTTACAGGGTTGAGTGACTTTATACTTAGCATTAATTTGCTAACGGGTTTATTTTCCTAATTGTTTTTATAACCCCTTTCAGGTGGGCCCAATGTTTGAGAGTGCACGAGTTAGATTAGTGCGTAGCTGAAGTGGTAGTCTCTAGATTTAGATTCTACCTTAGCAGTTTGATGTTGATGTTAGATACTGTTTGACTGATCCTTTTGTTGGTGCTTGGACACCAGGGTTTGTTCCCCAAATTTTTAATGATGTTTTGATGAGCTTGACTCTAGTTAGTTACCCCTTTTTGTAGCCTGTGCAGTCATCATGAGTGATGACTGTGGCGGTGACACCCGACTTGTTGGTTTTGGTTGGATTTAAGTTAACTAATCTTACCTTTTTATCTTGTTTTAAGTTAAGTATTTGGGAATTAGATTATAGAAAAGTAGGGTGTTACATCGACGTAGCATAATATCTCGTTAGTTGGCTGTTATGTGCTGATTAAAGCCGTTAAACCCGGTTGGGGATAGGGGGTAGTATGGCGTGTTGTTATATTGGTCTTCCACGCATTCCAGCTGAGGTGGAAGCTACGGCATACGGCAGCAGGAGTCGGCAAAAAACCATCCCAAACAGCATGGTTTCTAGCTTTCCACAATTCATGCAAAAGCCCACATATTTTCCCCTTCGTCTCACATGATCTACCAGCTGAGTTGTCCAACCAAGAAGCCACCCACTGCATAAAATCATCATCGTTAATAGGAGGAACTGGCAAATTTGAAACATCCCATACACGCTTTGCATATGAACAAGAACACAAGACATGCATGACGTCCTCCACACCTAAACCACAAGATGGGCATAAATATGAGACTTCTACCCTCTTTCTTATCAAATTTGTGGCAGTGGGTAGAATGGAGGAGAGTGCTCTCCAAAGGAAGGATTTTCACTTAGGGGGGACCTGAAGCTTCCATACATTATTCCAGACAGTACTAGGAAGGGTCGTTATTAAGCCTAGACTCTTGTAACCCTCCTTCACGGAGTAACAACCTCTAGTATCTCCAAACCAAAACGAAATATCCTCATAATCAACATTAGCTGGGATCTGAATAATAAGGTTGGCATCTCTAGGCTCAAACAACTGATGTATAAATTCCCGTTTCCACTCATTTGAGACAGGGTCGATAAGATTAGAAACCCATAAATCCCGAGTAGTGTCAGTGGGGGTAGTCCGAACATAGGGGTCCTGAGGGTCCGGTAGCCATGGATGCAACCAAACTTTAGTAGAGCTACCATCCCCTACCATGCGCCTGCATCCTCCGCGAATTAACATCTGACTAGCCATAACGCTCCTCCATACATAACTGGGGCAACCACCCAGTATGGCTTCTAAGAAAGATGTCTTTGGAAAATATCTTGCCTTGAAAACACGAGCCATAAGGGATGCGGGGTTGGTAAGCAAACACCACCCTTGTTTCCCATGCAATGCTAAATTAAATTCATGTAACCTTTTAAAGCCCAAACCTCCATACTTCTTCGGCACACACATCTTGTCCCAAGCCAACCAGTGAATCCCTTTTTCAGTGCTACTCTTATCCCACCAATACCTGTTCATCAATCTTTCCAGTGAGATACACAAAGTCTCAGGCAGAAGAAAGACACTCATGGTATAGGTAGGCTAGCCTGGGCCACACTCTTTAATAGCACCTCCTTCCCTGCTTTAGAGAGTAATTTTTTATTCCAAGAGCCAAACCTCTGCTTTAATTTCTGTTCAATATAGGTGAAAACCACCTTCCTGTTCTTTCCAACAACCGAGGGTAGCCCCAAATATTTTCCAAAGTCCTCAGTCTGGCTTACCCCCAAAGTTTCAACTATTTCCTCCTTCACTTCTTCACTAGTGTTGCGGCTGAATGAAATACTTGATTTATGGAACTTTGATATTTAGTTACAAGATAATATAAAAAGAATACAATGGACAATGAGGTGAATATAATAAATTAATAAATTTGAAGGTAAGAAATCTTTGAAGGGTAGAAAATAAAGATAATATAACTAATGAAATTATATATCTTTCTAAATTTTTTATAATGAATATTTTTTTTTTAAAATCAAGGCATTATAGATATCTAATTTTAAATTAATTAAATGCATATGTATTTTTTTATAGCTAATAATTTATTTATTTTTTGAAAGCAACTACTAATTTATTTAATTTAATAATAGTAATAAAGTGGCGTACATACTTTTCATCTATAATAATGAAATCATTGATTTTTTTTTAATTTCCATTCGTTGTTGAGATGAATTGTTTTGAGAGTTTGTCAATGACAATTGTTGTCAATAGAGGATGATAATAAATAATTCATAATATATGGTTACTGTGACACCCTGTAAATTCAGATTCTATTTAGGGATTAATTGAGTAATTAATCCTAATCCAATTGGTAATTTAATTCTTTAAATTCCTGAAAATCTAATAGTCAGGGACTAGTAATTGACTAGTCAACCCAAGTCAAGATGTTGTACCTAAAGCTTTGAGAATAATTCCCTTGTTCCCTTACACCTTTCTCATCTTAGTAAGGGTAAAGAAGACATTTCCCCTATGATTGTATACCAAGCTAACCTAGAAGACATCTTTCATTTCTCTCCTAACACTTTGAAATCAAAAGCTCTCACTTCTCTCTAAAAACCTAGCTAGCTTTTTCTCCAAGCTAAGTTTAGACTTTCCAAGACCTTCAAAGTTTGTCTCCAAGATTCCACCTTTCCTACTCTTGAGCATCTAGGAGGGTAAGATCTATGTTCCTTTTGTGTTTTTAGTGTTTTCTAGGGTATCTTTTCCTAAAGATGAAATCTTTATGATCTTTTGGTGTGTTTTTGAAGTTGGTGTGGAAGGTGAACCTTGTTAGGGGCTTTGAGAAGTGTTAAGTGAAGGTTTTTGTCTTCAAGAGGTAACCCATGCTCTACAAAATCTATTTTGCTTACCTATATGATGATTTATTGGATTCTACATGTGATTTTGCTATGAAATGTGAGTGTTGATGCATTGTCTTGTGAAAATGCATATCTAGAGCTTGTTATTAGGGTTCATGAATGCCATTGCTTGGCTATTCCTTTGATTCAAGTCATTTTGTTGTATTTGGTGAGATTTGGCATGTTTTGGACTTGAATTTGAGCTTGGTGTTGAAAATCCCCGAAGGGATTAATTGTGGTACAGGTGTGTACCCGCGGGCGGAACGGCGGGTAGTGCACCACCCGCCGCCCCACCCGCGGGGTACATGGTGATGTGGGTGTGGTACCCGCGGGCGGTACCACGGGTGGGGGTCCACCCGTGGCCCCACCCGCGGGGTACAATATGTGGCTTGTTGGGGATTTGTTCCCCGTGATTCTTTTGACTCGGTATTTGGTTTGTTGACTTCTCGATGTTCTGTTGTGGAACTATTTGCGTGTCTTCTTGATGTTTCGTATGTCTAGAACTATATGGTAGGATTCCATGTAGGTTTTGGTGTCTTGAATCGTGCTAAGTGTTCAACCTTGTGATTCGTTGAACCGTGATGAGTCTTGTGTGTTTTTCGGAACTATGTTTAGTTTACCCGTTTGATAAGCATGCTAGTTCGGTGTTTAAATGCTAGCGTGTGTGGTTTGTTCTTTCCTATTGTGGATGATGACTTGTGTTGATCATCGTTGTTGTCGGATTGTGATCCTTTCCTTGTTGAGTATGGTTTCATATCTTCGTTGTGATCCGTTGATTGATTCCTATGATGGTGTCGTGTGTGTGGCTATACCTGGATTGCACGATTAATGGTATGGGACATTAGTCACTAAGGTACGGCAGCGGTCCTCGTGGTGGCCATGACGTGAGTATGGAGGATGTAACCCGAGTGATGGGTTCACGAATTTCTTGGGAGGCATGTGTTGCCATGTGTGTGATCGGTACCCTCGTGTACTATGAATTGGTGGAATTTGTTGGTGGTTTGTTGGTGGATGGGGACGACGGTCCTCGGAGGGAAAATGTTGGACTTGGTGTACAGGGGTCCTGGAGGTAAAGGTTGGAACTAGACATAAGGTGGGGGGTAGCCATAAGGTTGGAACCGGGCATAAGGAAGACATCTCAATTCGTGAAGGGTGATGTCACGAAGACAAGTGTTGCCGTTGTGTAATTCTATATTCGTGACGAGTGATGTCGCGAAGGCATGTGTTGCCATTGTGTGTCTCTTATTCTCTTGTGTTATGCATGTCGGGTGATGTTTTACTGAGTGATGATAGAATATGCCTTGAGCCGTTCTTGTGTGTCGTTGTCACTTCTTGATGTGTCATGGGATGTGTTCCCTCATCTTTATTGTGAGTGCATAGAGTATTGTGTTTGACTTTCTACTCTTGGCTTTGAACTTATATATACTATATCCCGTTTCGCAAATGGTTTTGTATATATATCATATCTATGTATGATATTTCACATGTATTGGTGGGTTACCAGCATCATTCGCTGACCGAGCGTCGTCCCATATATTTGTGTGTTTCTTTCAGGTCCCGAGTAGAGGCGAGCGCAATCTAGAGATGGATAGTATAGATCCCTCAGACCTTGTAGTTGTTTTGGCCTGTGTGCCCGATGTTGGATTTAGACTTGTTGTTTGACCTTGTCCCATGTAGACAAATTATGTTGATGTTGTTTATTCCTGTGTGTTCACCATAGTGTGGACGTGACATAACACTCTACGTTTTCCATCTATTTCATACTTAGACTTCTGCTGTGTATGCTTATTATGGTTAGATTATCTGCATGATTAAGTTTTAAATTGGCATGGAAATTGGGGATGTTACAATTACAATATATATTGTTATAATGATATAGTAAAGACTAACTTATAAATTTATTTAAAAGTTTTAATGCATTGATAAAATTCTGATGTGTAATCTTGTTCAACTGGAGCTAGTGGGATGCCAACATTGTCAATTCTTTGGAAAATGGTCCGACCATTTTAGAGTCCATATGTAATTGTATTCATGATCAACAACTTTGTATTAGGTCGTGCGGGTCTAACAATGATGTAAGAACAATTTTGTCTGTAAAAAACTAGTATAATATTTGTAAAGTAACGTATAATTGTACCATTATAAAAATACATACAAAAAATATTATTACCATAATGACCTAAATTATTCCAATAATGCAAAAGCATAATTGAAATATTAAGTTTTGTTCTAAATAATCAAAAGAAGATTAATTAAAAGAAAAAAACTTAACCTAAATTTGTTTTTTTTTTTAAAATGCAAGAAAATCAAATGATTTTCAAAGTTCATGATTTATAATATTTGATGCTCAACTTTGAATCCTATGTATTTAGTCAGGCTAATTATTTGACAAAAGTTTATGGTAATTTTATATTATATTTTTAATACATTTTAACATATTTGTAATATATGTTTAACAAGTATACCAACTCTAATTGAGATGAGGTTCGAACCTAAGACCTTTCTTATAGAAATTAATGAGTAAGTTAAGAATAATAAATAGTTAACGGAATATTCCGTTACTAAAATTTATACTAACGGAATTTATGGTTATTTAAAGAAAGAAAATAATATAATACATGGTAAATAAGGAAAATTATTTAAAAAAATACTAAAATTAAAATAATATGAACCATTAATTTTAAAAAACAATTACATCAACATTTTTTTTTTCAGTTAATGACCTAACATTATTGGTTCTTATTAGATTTGTATTTGTATTGTAGATTTGTATTATAGATGTAGATTAAATAATCAAGTAGTCCATATATATACAAAATTACAAATTCCAAACAAATAAGGATTACAAATAAAATAAAAATAAACTTAATTGAATATTTAAAATACAGATTATATGACGGTGCCATAAGTCCATAACGTGCGAGTGTGGGACACTATTAAAAGCGTCGATTGATTACTTCCTCGTTATTCTCGCACGCATCCGGTTTCCTTCTCCGGCAAAATATCTCTCCCTCGTCCTCGGCTATCCAATTTCAGATCGAAGATGAGTCACCAAGCCGAGTCATCTGACTCGTGAGTTCTTCGTCTCCCTGAGTTTTCAACCGCCTTCGGTGTCATCGTCACCGATGAATCGGAGACACTGTAACTTCGAAACTATGGTTGTTTTACTTCTATTTTTTGATGCGATTGCCTCTTTTTCGATTCTTCCAGGAAAAGTACTAAGAAGGACTTCTCTACGGCGATTCTGGAGCGGAAGAAGGCGCCGAATCGGCTTGTCGTGGATGAGGCGATCAATGATGATAACTCCGTCGTTGCTCTCCACCCTGCTACCATGGAGAAGCTCCAGCTCTTCCGTGGAGACACGATTCTGATTAAGGTATCATCGAATTTTTTTGGCTCAAGTTTCACACGCCGTTTGAATGTCCAAAACAGTATGGGTTACAGTTTGTCTTAGAATCGTTCCATTCTGTAGCATGTCTTTTGAGAAAGAGTTTGGTTAAATGTTTTGCCGTTTTTGGTGAATTAATAATCTTATCTTGTATGTTGATTAACAGTTCTTTTATTAATCTGTACTTTATACCCTTTTATTGTTTGAGTTGGAAGGTAATATTGGGTTTCAACATAATGGATGTTGGAGATGTGATTGAATTTTCTGTAATTGTTGTTCTACTGGTATGCTACTTAGGCATGAGTTAATTCATGCTGCATTATGCTCTACTTCTATTTGACAGAACCCTTTAGTACCTAGGGGTGGCCGTATGAGGGTTTGACCAAATATTTCAGTTTTGGTTTGAGTTGGTATTAAAAACAAAAATCAAAATAGTCTTCATATCCAAAGAACCTTTAAATTAACTCATCACGCATGAGAATATTCAAATTAAAATAAAAACTTACAATTATAATGATAAACAAAGACCATGTTTCCTCATTAATCAAAACAGTGCTAGAAAGTCAAAAAATCCACATCTTATTAGGATTTTGAGGCTATATATTTTCATATAAAATTACATATTTTAGAGTTCTGTTTATAGTTTGGTTTATGGTTCAGATTGGTTTTAGTCTGAATCAGGGGTTGGTCAAACCAGAACAAAATCAACTTTTTTGTTCTGGTGAAAATTCCAAACTCAAACCAAGCCAATATGTTTGGTTTTGGCTTTGATTGGTGTTTGAGTCAGTTTTGATTTTGATTTTGGTTTGTTTGGTTCAGTGTCCACCCCTAGTATAATAACTGATGTGTATAATGTGTGAAGAATTTTTTGTTGTCATCTGTGGATTTGGCAGTTTTCAGTTTGGCCTTCTGTAGATTCTTTGTGGCAATTTTGGTTGATGTAATTAAAAATATGGCTACACTAATTAATTTTTAATGGAATGGTGAGAATATTGAGTTGCACGAAGCTACTGGCATATGCACCTTGGTTAACCATGAATTCATTTTATTATTATTATTATTATTATTATTATTATTAATAATATTAATATTAATTTTCAGATATCCTACTCTATTCTATAATTGAGCCATATTGTACATTTTGTTGTTACTTTGAGAATGATTGTTACATTTGGTTGGGTATGGATTGTAGTATCTAACTTTTTTTTGAACTAGTTCCTGACTTTTTCCTTTTAACTAATGCTTTTTGATTAATTTATGTCCTGTTTATACCTGATTTACTAGATTTTATGTGGTAAATGCCCCTTTTCTTCTTTAATTGACTGAGTAATCCTACCATCATAATGTAACTATTTTTAGGAAATTTTTTTATGTATTTGGTGCTATTATGGGAATATATTTTTACTTATTGTGTGCCAAACTAGTTGATATAATCTGAAAATTTCTAATGTGACTTTAGTAGCATAAAGCACAACTACATAAATCAATTTACTGAAATGAATTTGTTGGTTGGATTTTCTAGATATGATGTTTGCCTCTCATTTTGGGAAACTCATAATTTATTTCTGTCTCATTTATTTTACAGGGCAAAAAAAGGAAAGATACAGTGGTTATTGCTCTTGCTGATGAGACATGTGAAGAGGCAAAGATTAGGATGAATAAAGTTGTCCGGTCAAATTTGAGGGTCCGACTTGCTGATGTTGTATCTGTACATCAATGTCCAGATGTTAAGTATGGGAAACGTGTGCACATACTTCCTATAGATGATACAATTGAAGGGGTCACTGGTGATCTCTTTGAATCATACTTGAAACGTAAGTATGCAACCTGTTTTCACTACTGAGTTGCCATAGTTCAAATATATACTCATTGGTTCTTGGTTGATAGTTTGATACAAGGAGTCTATTGTAGCTGCTACATGTTTCCCAGAGTAAATGTTATACTTTAATATTTGAAGGAAAATTAGTAATCTATTTTAACTCCAGTTTTTATGACAGTTCCCATGCATTATACGTTTTCATGTTTATTGTGGAAAGAGGAAAAAGTTTTGGTTTTATTATAATTAGAAGCTAAATTTTAGGCTAAATATCCTGATATCCTAAATTTATTTATTTATTTATTTTTTCCCTGCGTACAGTAGGCTTAATTTTTTTTGTCAAAGGTATATATCCAAGAAATTACCACAATCTATGTAATTATGTAATAGAGAGTACCTACATAAAAAAATAGAAACAATTGATGAAGTATTTTTTATCCCTAATAAGCATTATCTCCTCTTTTGATGAACAATTATTGTTTGAAATTATGCTTGTCTGTCTCTCTTCTGAAATTGTGTAGATCATCTGACAGGATTGGATTTTTTTAATTACCTGTTCATTTAATAATTGAACATTTTGCTTGTAGCTTACTTTTTGGAGGCATATCGTCCTTTGAGGAAAGGAGACCACTTCCTTATTCGAGGGGGTATGAGAAGTGTGGAATTCAAGGTCATTGAGACAGATCCAGGGGAATATTGTGTTGTTGCTCCAGACACTGAAATCTTCTGTGAGGGGGAGCCAGTGAGGAGGGAGGATGAGGATAGACTTGATGAAGTTGGGTATGATGATGTTGGTGGTGTGAGGAAACAAATGGCTCAGATTCGTGAATTAGTAGAGCTGCCATTGAGGCACCCTCAACTTTTCAAATCCATTGGAGTGAAACCGCCAAAGGGTATTTTGCTTTATGGCCCTCCTGGTTCTGGGAAGACACTGATAGCAAGAGCTGTTGCCAATGAAACTGGTGCATTTTTCTTTTGTATCAATGGACCAGAAATTATGTCCAAGTTAGCTGGAGAGAGTGAAAGCAACCTTAGAAAGGCATTTGAAGAGGCTGAAAAGAATGCTCCATCTATTATATTTATTGATGAAATTGATTCAATTGCTCCCAAGAGGGAGAAGACACATGGTGAAGTTGAAAGAAGAATTGTTTCACAACTCCTAACTTTGATGGATGGATTGAAGTCCCGTGCTCATGTTATAGTTATTGGAGCTACAAATCGTCCCAACAGCATTGATCCTGCTCTCAGGAGGTTTGGTAGGTTTGACAGGGAAATCGACATTGGTGTTCCAGATGAAGTTGGGCGCCTTGAAGTTCTTCGCATTCACACTAAGAATATGAAACTTGCTGAGGATGTAAGATCTCCTTTATTGCTTGATAGTTTGTTTTCTTGCAGTAAATTGTGTTTGTTAATGGTTACTCTATTTTGCAGGTTGACCTGGAGAGAATTGCTAAAGACACACATGGTTATGTTGGTGCTGACCTTGCTTCTCTCTGCACTGAAGCTGCACTTCAATGTATCAGAGAAAAAATGGATGTCATAGATCTGGAGGATGAAACAATTGATGCTGAAGTTTTGAATTCTATGGCTGTTTCAAATGAGCACTTCCAAACTGCTCTGGGAACAAGCAATCCTTCTGCATTGCGTGAGACTGTAAGTTTACAATTACAGATGTCTATTTTGTGGCATGGTATCTTTCTAAGTGTGGTTTGGATGACTTTGGAAGAGCAAAATTTTCACTGCTTTTATTGTTTTGAATTTACCTGCAGGTTGTTGAAGTGCCCAATGTCAGCTGGGAAGATATTGGAGGACTTGAAAATGTTAAACGTGAACTTCAAGAGGTAATTGGGAATGGTCATTTTACAGTATTCATGTTTTTCCGCATCCTTTTTTCAGATCATGCTCATTAATCTAATTTCTAATTATCTTGTAGACGGTACAATATCCTGTGGAACACCCAGAGAAGTTTGAAAAATTTGGTATGTCGCCCTCAAAAGGTGTTCTTTTCTATGGCCCCCCTGGGTGTGGGAAAACTTTACTGGCCAAGGCAATTGCAAATGAGTGTCAAGCCAACTTCATTAGTGTTAAAGGGCCTGAATTGCTCACCATGTGGTTTGGAGAAAGCGAGGCCAATGTTCGTGAAATTTTTGACAAGGCTAGAGGATCAGCACCATGTGTTCTCTTCTTTGATGAGCTTGACTCTATTGCAACTCAGGTATTATTTTCCTCCCATTCTCAATAAGAACAAGTTGAAGAGATTTTTGATAGGTTGAAAGAGACTAGCACCGGTTGGTTCAATTGAGGTGTTAATAAAATATAAGATGACAAGGAGGAGATGAAGAACCATTTCTGAGTTATATTATATTTGAGTTAAGTTACATACAAGCTGAGGCGAATGCTTACAAGTGTTTGTTGTTGATATTGTTGCAGAGGGGTAGTAGTGTTGGAGATGCTGGTGGTGCCGCTGATCGGGTTCTTAACCAACTTCTTACTGAAATGGATGGCATGACGGCAAAGAAGACTGTTTTCATTATTGGAGCTACGAACAGACCAGATATTATTGACCCTGCACTGCTTCGTCCCGGTCGTCTTGACCAATTAATATATATCCCTCTTCCAGATGAAGATTCTCGGCATCAGATCTTCAAAGCTTGCCTGAGAAAATCTCCAGTTTCCAAAGATGTTGATATAAGAGCTCTTGCGAAATACACTCATGGATTTAGTGGAGCAGATATCACAGAGATCTGCCAGAGGGCATGCAAATACGCCATACGGGAGAACATAGAGAAAGTATGCCATCTCACATCTGTATTATTTCATTTAAATTTTACATTTGTTCTCCTTATGTGAGGGAACACCCACCATTCACCATTCAATCTTCTTTCAGGATATCGAAAGGGAGAAGCAGAGGAGGGAGAATCCCGATTCCATGGACGAGGATGATGCTGGGGATGAAGTTTCAGAGATTAAACCTGCGCATTTTGAGGAATCCATGAAGTATGCTCGTCGGAGTGTGAGTGATGCCGATATACGCAAATACCAATCCTTTGCTCAAACACTGCAACAATCTCGCGGTTTTGGAACTGAATTCCGCTTTGCTGAGTCAGGAACTGGCGGGGCCTCTGGAGCCGACCCATTTGCAACCTCTACTGCAGCAGCTGATGAAGACGACTTGTATAGCTAAGTTTTAGATATATATATATATATGCCCTTTAGTATTAATTATTAGTGTTTAGGCTACTTTTTTTTGGGTTCCGTTCAGATATTTTTACTCTTGCACTGCAATTCCCTTTTCTTGATATCTGGATTAAATATTTATATATGGTAGACGTCAGATAATCTCATATCTTACGCACTCCATACTAATCTCTTTGAATATTCTTTAATATTAATTATTTGTGGTTTTTTAATATCCCCCATAGGCCATAACTCAAGAAATAAGTTAATTGTTCCAATGAAGGTATGCCTAATGTGGAAATTAATTTAAAAAATTGTCTGAAAGTTCTCATAAATTAAAGAGTATATTCTTTGTATCAATACAATACATGTTACGTTGCAATTAGCAATGTGTGTGTTTGGCGACCTTGATGCTGTTTTGGACTTTTGGTGCATGCCCCTCTGCGAATCATAGCTCTGGTTAGGAAGTTTTTTTAAAGGTGGGATACCATAAAGGGAAGAAAGTATAGCTTGAAGAGAACAAGTAAAAACGTCCCTGTTGAGGCCGTTTAGACTAGTAAACACGGCCTCAACAATAGAGATGACCACGGTTTCGGTTCAACCGTAACTGGAACCGTGACTGTCCGAACCGAAACCGAACTGGAAACGTCCGTACGGTTCCGGTTCCGGTTCTTAATCGGAACCTATAAGGTTTCGGTTAAGGTTTGTAAAATCTTGGAACCGGAATCGCCGGTTAAGGTTTATAAAATCTTGGAACCGGAACCGGCGGTTCCGGTTTCAAATCGGAAAAAAATAAATATTATAGTGTTTTTTTTAATTTTTTTTTTTAATAATTCCGGTTAGAATTGGAACCTTACTATAAGGTTCTGGTTCTGGTTCCGGTTTCGCCATCCACAAAACCGGAACCGTGGTCACCCCTACTCAACAAGGACATTTTACGTTTTTCTTTTTGTAATCCACAGTACTTGTTTATATATGTATTAGTTGTTGCACTGCTCTCACCACGCCCGCGACGGGTTCTTCACTCATAGCAAATGCAGCTCTCCTCTCCCCCCTTCCCCCTTTCTTGTTAATGTTAGGCGCTTGGCGGACCAAATCAACGTTTAATTTTTGTGACCTTTATTTCCCTTGATATTTTTTATGGCCAGGATCTTTGTTATAATGGTGTCAACATGGGTGATTCAACTCTTGTGGTTTTTATTCATCATGTATATTATTATATAAATAGGACCCATTCTTGTCATTTCTATAATATAACAAAAAAGTTTTCCTTCTTCTCTTCTTTTTCTTTTCTATATCTTTATATCGGAGCAGTGTTTAGTGCGTTCCAACGGTAATTAATGAGTGTATGTTACTATAGAATAGCTATGTAACATTGGGAAAAATGAAATTGTTCTAAAAGGTTCACTACCTTTTCTTCACGCTACAACTTTAATCTTTGCGACATGATCGGTTTTCACTATAATTTTTAGAACAATTTCTGCAGCTTAAAATTAGTCAGGAACACTTCAATAATATTGTCAATTACCTACCATTATCTTGACTTTTGAAAAATAAGTCCAAGTTGTCTCTTACTAACTAGTAGTTTTCATCCCGCGATCACCTAACTTAAGTTCAAAGGAATCTTCCCTTCCGCGATGGTCGATCTTGACATCTTAAAGAGGCAGACGACATATAGAGGTTTTGAGCGGCAGAACAAACAAATATCAAAGGCTTTAATCTAAATATTGTAATTTGTTAATAGTTTGGAAAAGGCATATTCTAAATGGAAAGCTCAAATCATTCTTGAAAACTTAGGAAGGTGATTTTCAAGTAAACTTTGATTTCACCATTCGACTTGAGAGTTTTTAAGAAGTAGGATGTTGATCATGCAGGCTAGTTGAAGTGCCACTTGATCCTCACATAAAATGAGACTGACTATAACATGTTAAATATATGTCTTGCAAATAGATATTGCTCAAGTGTTGTAATGATAACATTGATTTAAATTACAATTTAATAGATAAGTGGGGGCTATTTGTTCTTTTGGGAATGAATACGAACTTGTATTGATTTGCTTCATATCAATGCTATATATGAATTATGAATTTCCTCAAGTGAAGGAAAAAATGGCAAAGTTTAAACAATTTTAAATGTTAAAGTAATTATATGTTGAACTTATATTGTTAAAATTTGTGTAGATAAATTATCTCTAATAAATGTCAGCTTGAATATATTCTTTGGATATGAGGCTACAAAGGTTTTCTACACAAATCCAAATACAAAGCTTTTATCTAATACAAAGGTTTTAATCTAATCAACTATACCATTCATACTAGACAGCGCTCTCGGGAAACATCTCTAAGCCAACCTGAAATCATTTTAAAAAATATTAGCGTATAATGCTAAGTAAAACCACTTCAACACGTAAAACTACGTACATATACTTTTATATCAAAATAGGTTTTGCAACGGTATGACTACATATATATCATACCAACGAACTCAGCTGAAAGATTGCAAAGATTGATACTCAATCAACAATAATCAACTCTAGGGGCACTAGGCACAATCAATAGAATACTCAAATGGATTCAATTCAAGAAAGCCAACGGGGAACCACTCAGCTCAACTTAGATTCAAGAGATTAATACCACAACATGAACAAGATAGAGTTCCAAGAGTTCTCTCATCAATCAAAGCATAATGGTATATATACATAGTCAAAGAATCATATATATAGCAATAATCAAGTATTCAATATCAATATCAATATCCAACCGAACTCCAATCCAACATTTACACCAAGAGTCCAACCTGTACACCAGTCCAACCTCATCCACCAAGCGGAGCCAAATCTTTCTTCCACCTATGCAATTTATATTCCACCAATGCAAATAGCCAAAGCTCAATAATACAATATAGCCAATGAGATGTATATATATACCATCATTTAACTCACGAATCATTTGATATCAAGAAACAAGGATTCACAATTCAAACGGAGACCAAAGGTTTCACAAAATTCTGGAATGGACTCACAATGAACCAAAGATTACTCAACAATGCACCAAAAGATGACCAACAATGCACCAAAGAAAAATGCACGGGAAGAGACTTGCACAGAATTCAACGGGTAGGAGTGGCGGGTGTTATCTACCCGTCACTCACACCTCTGCAATAAACCTAGCAGGTCTGTCTCGCGGGAGTTAACCACCCGCGAGATCTACCCGCAAGGCCAAAAGAATGAACTAGCGGGTCCATTCAACGGGGGATTCCCACCCATGAAAACCACCCGCAAGGATAACACGAACCAACAAATAGAATGCATCAGACATCAGGATTCAACACAACAGAAGCACAGATTCATCAACAACAGAGGCTAAAATATAAGGATAAATCTATTCCAACACACTAGATCATCAACGAAGCAAGGGAAATTAAGAATAGACATCATAGCTCAACAATAGACTCAAGATATCCAAGAATAAAGCTCAAAACAAGGAATAACACAAAAAACATACTCAAGATTCTTCAAGAAATTCAAGAATATTTGTATAAGTTGGAAATAGGTTTTGATGGACATGGAGTTTACCTTTTAAGCTAGCAATCCAAAGCAAAACCCTCCTAGAAGCTAACCCTAGCTCATCCACTTTCACTTGATCATCTTAAACCCAAGAAATCACCATAAGGAGAGGAATAAGAAGCTTGAAGATGGAAGGATGGAAATAAAGAGGAAATCTTACCAATAGAAGATGAAGGAAGATGAAGCTTAGCCAATATCAATTGAGGAGATGAAAGGGAGAATATGTTTGGGTGTAGTTGTCGTGAAATGAAGAGAGAGGGTGAGGGAGGAAACTTCATCAGATGATTGCTATTCACATATGTATATATTAGTCTAGGGTTGTAATTATTTGCAAGACTAATGGGTTGGGCTTGAAAGGAAATATGTTGGGTTATTATATAACAATGTACATATACAATATAAGAGTTGGGCTAGAGAACTTATTTAAATAAATAAATACATAGGATAAGGAAAAACCCATATCACTAGGAATTAAATGTATTTAGAATAAATATATGGACTAATTTAAATAATTGGGTCTAACAAGAGAATAAATTCCTCCTTAGAAAATAATTATGGTGGGAAATCCCGGTATAAAATATACGGGGTGTCACACTCCCCCCCCACCCCCCTTAAAATGAGCTTCGTCCTCGGAGCTAAAAAAAGAAAGGATATATAAATGGGTTGAAGTATGTTTGAATTCGAATTTAGGAATATGAATCGAAGTAGAAACGCTATGCAAAAGATATACTGATAAAGATTCCTAATCACAGCTCTAGAAATTCAACGCAACCAAAACCAAGCACTAAGATCTACTAACTCACTCATAAGGAACAACAAACCGGAACTTACCAAAGAGGTGCACACCAACAGGGTGCAACAACCACAAACAAACTTAGAAACAACAAGGTAAAGAAACACAGCTTAAATGGGAAGGTAAACACACAACCTCACTATTTGTTTGAGAAAACATAAGTGTTAAAACGTAGCTCACAAGACACTCAACACTCAAATGGCAAATCGATATGAGGTTATGCATATTAGGAATCAAATGAATGGCATCCTTCCGATTATAAAGCAAATGTGGCAAACAATATGTGACAAAGTCAATTTAGGAGATGTTCGAGAAAACACAAACCCCAATGGTTGTTTAGAAAATAAGCTCAAAATGGGAACACACCTCTCACACAAGAATTTTTTCTAAACCAAGCAAGCAAATGGGTTTTTGATTCTTTTTATCCAATCCTCAAGGGCTTATCAAGCCAAGCCGACTAGTGGGAACGATGCAAGCAAGCTCGCCCTGAAACTGGCCCAAAATGCCCAACATAAAATAAAGTGAAGGTTTGGTATGGACCTCTCCCTGCCAATTGGCTTAAACGGGCACTCTTTTCTTCTCAACCCCCTAGAATCGTTACCAGGCGACCCGACTTCACATGGAGCTCTATGCTTTTTCGAAGATCAATGCTATGGGTGCCTAGTTTCCAGCAGGGTGGCTTCCATCCTCTCTCTCTTCTCATCTCCTAGGACATCGCCATTGGGACAACCGACTTCACGTAGAGCTCTACGCTTTTTCGAAGACAGTGCAATGGATTTGCCCCAAGCCCTAGCGAGATGGCTCACCTCATTTCTTATCTCAAGGAGTGACCCATTTTTGGTT